GAAACCTTGCTTTTTTGTGTGACAACACAGATAACATCTCACCCTCTGCATCTCTGGCCTGTACCCCAGTTCTGTATGCACAAATAAATAAATCTTTAAAAAAAAAAAAAAAAGAAAAAAAAATTAAGTTTAAAAAAAAAAAAAATCACGATCTCAGTACTACACAAAATTACCTGACAAAACTGAGCCATTTATGACCAATAAACTCTCACCAGGGGCCTCTCTGGTACAATAAGGGTTAAAGACTAAGCATTACTAGTAACAGGGTGGTCCAGGGAGGCCTGAGAGTGCCCTTCTCCTGCCCTGTATCACTATCATCGCTAGAGTCTGAGTTCCATCCTCAGCTACGGAGCTGACCCACTTATGGCACAGCAGACCTCTGTGTCTCCCACTATTCCCTTCAGCAGTACACTGCATTAAGTCCACCTGTTGTGCTCACAAACAACAACATACTCAAGAGTGAGCTTTTCCTCTAAAATCAGGACCAAGGCATTGAATGCCAACTTTCACCACTTTTACTCATCTTAATAATGGAAATCCTAGTGAGGGCAATTAGGCAAGAAAAAGAAGTAAAAGGCACACAAATTGCAAGAAATGAAAATAGTCACTATTTGCAGATGGCATATTATAAAACCTCTAAAGGACTGCACCCATTAACTATTAGACTAATAAATGGATTCAGTAAATCTGCAGTACACAGAGTCAATATACATAAAACTGTTTGTGGGGACCTCTCTGGTGGCACAGCACGTTAAAATACAGCACCAAGAAGCTAACGCCACTTCAGCATGAGTTCGATCCCCACCTCAAGGTGACCGAGATGGCATAGCAGAGCTCTCCTGACCTGCCAGCTGCTCCCCTTAGCAGTGCACTTCATAGATCTGCCTGTTCTGCTCCCCATTCTGTCTCTGGTGAATCCTCTCACTGCCCCTGCATCTCTGGCCTGTACCCCAGCTCTGTATGCATAAATAAATAGTTTTTTTTTTTCTTAAAAAAAAAAAAAAACTTTGCATTGCTACATACCAATACTGATGGAAGTTAAGAGTAAAAAGGTTGGAAAGGAGGCACCACAAGACCAGAAACCCAGCTCATGCAAAGCTGAAGGCTGGATGTGGGGGCAGAAGTGAGTAACACAGTCATTAAACCAGCTACAGAAATGGAAAATACTTAGGTGGCAAGTGCTATAGCAAATGTCAGACTGCTATAGAAAGTCTCACCATTGTGAACCAGATCACTGGTCCTCAGGAATCAACCTAGTTACACCCTAGAAGTAATTAAAGCTAACAAAAGTTAACAACTGCACAAAGGAATGAGCCCCTCCCTAAGAGTAGATGACTTTGTCAGTGCAATTTCTGCACCAGCCCACCACCGCCTGAGCCCATCCAGGCATTCCTCGTGACATCATCCTCCCCAGCAGCAATCCTGCCCACCTCTGACTGTGCAGGTGTTTCACTCCACTGACCTCTTCCCACTGCAGCTCTCCTCCCAAGGTCACCCGCCTGTGACAATCAGCTCTCTCTTATAGTAAACCTATCCCATTCAGGGGCAGCTCTTTCTGCCCACTTGTGTCTGTAAACATTTTTTGTTTCCCCTTTACAATAAACCTGCCCTTTTGAATACAACTAATGCCTCTGTGTCATGGAGAATCTCACCTGGGAAACTTGCTGGTGCAGCTAAAAGGGGAGCACTGGTGAAATTACCTAGAGTTAAGGATACCACTTTCCAAAACCAACATCTCCAAAACAGACTTCAATACCAAACAAAATAAATAAATAAATAAATAAATAAAAATTTAAGAAAACAACCCCTTTGACAATATACCAAAAAAGAATACTTGCGAATAAACTTAACCTAAGTGATCAAAGACCTGTATGCCACAACATAAGACATTTATGAAAGAAACTAAAAACAATAATGTAAACTTATTACATGCTTATGGATTATAAAAATTCACATTGTCAAACTGTCCATACATTCAAAGCAATAAAAATCAGTGCAATTCTCATCAAAACTCTGATAGAACTTTTCACAGAAATAGAGCAAATAATCCAAAAATGTATATGGGAACATAAGGCCCCACAGACAAAGCAAAGCTGGGATTATCACAGTCCCTAGTCTCAAACGATATTCCCAAGTTATAGTAATCAAGACAGCACAACATTGTCATAAAAGCATAAATCAATGGACCTATAGAGAAAGCTCAGAATGGAAAATATTGGAGAAAGAAGCCTCTGAAGTAAATGGTACTGGGAAAACTGGACAGCCAAATTCAGAAGAATGAAATTTGACCTACAAAGTGGGAGAAAATATTTGCAAATCCTATGTGATAACGGATTAATACCCAACATGCATAAAATACTCATAAATTTCAAAAGCAAAAAAACCCCAATCTGATTTAAAAATGGACAGATGAGTATTGTCCCCAAAACGACATACAGGTGGCCAACAGACATGTGAAAAGGTGGCTTAACATCACTATTTGTCAAAGAAATGTGTATCATAACCACAATGAAATATTACCTCTAGCTACTAGAAAATGACCACTCTCAAAGACTAGAATAACAAGTGGTAGAAAATGTAGCATAAAGGGAACCTCTGTCACCAATGGTGGAAATATAAATTAGTGCAGTGTCTCTATGGAAAAAGAGTATAGGTAAATCAAAAGTTAAAAACTAATAATCGGATCATCTATGAACTCCACTTCTAGTTATTTATCTGAAGAAAACAAAAACACTAACGCGACATCTGCTGCCCTATGCCCAATGTATCATTACCCACAATAGCCAGGACATGGCAATAACTTGAGTGTCCGGTGCTGGATGAATGCATAAGACAATGTGGTGTGCATGCACATACACACAAGATGGAACATTATTTTGTCATTAAAAAAAAGGAAACCTTGCGGGCCTCCCCGGTGGCGCAGCGGGTTAAAGCACTGCACTAAGAAACTAAAGCCACTTCCGCAAGAGTTCAATTCCCGCCTGCCCCGGAGGCGACCACATGGTGTGGCAGACCGCTCCTGACCCGCCCACTGCTCCCCTCAGCAGTATACTTGTCAATCTGCCTGTTCTGCTTCCCACTCTGTCTGGTGAATCCTCTCACCCTCCACATCTCTGGCTGTACCCCAGTTCTGTACGAATAAATAAATAAATCTTCAAAAAAAAAACAACAAAGAAACCTTGCTTTTTTGTGTGACAACACAGATAACAATGAAAGCATTCATTACTCTAAGTGAAATAAGTCAAAGAAAGAAATACTGTGTGTGCTCTGAAAAAGAACAAAAACACACCAATCAAACAAGTTCAGAGATTAAAAACAGAATGGTAGTTTGCCAGAGATGGCTGATGAATAATTGGTAAAGTGTGTTAAAAAAGATACAAATTCGTAGCTACAAAATAAATGCCATCAGGATAAAATGTATACGGTATGGGAATACTATGATTAATAATACCCAATTGCATATTTTGGAATTGTAGAAGAGTAAACCTTAAATTGTTAGCACAAAGAAAAAAATGTAACTATTAAGGTGACAGGTTTAATTAACTAATATCATTTCACAATATCTACAATTATTTAAAGTTATTATGCTATACACCTGAAGCTAATGTTATGTGTCCATTACACTTAAAAAAAAAAAAACCTAAACACACTGAGTCACTTGATATTTCAAGTGGCTCTATATAACTTACTAATTAAAAGCACAAATTATGAAATCATCCCATCTGAATTCAAAGTTTTGCCACTTACTAACAAAATTAGCTACTCTGTATCTTAATTTCCACAATTGTGTATTTCTGATAGTAGTATGTCTACTTAATATTTGTTATAAGAGCCGAAGAGTTAAGAATTTGACGGCCTTAAGAGGACTAATCCTCATTATATAAAGCCCATGGAGCTAACCTACATATGGCCCAGCAGATCTCTTTTGTCTCTCCTGCTGTTCTCCTTAGCAGTGTACTTTAGTAAATGAACCTGCTCTGCTCCCTACTATCTCTGATGAATCTTCTCACCCCCTGCTCCTCTGGCCTACATCCCAGCTCTACACAAAAATAAAATCTTAAAAACAAAAAGTAGGTTGTTACACTAAATATGCACTTAATATTAAAACTTGAATTCTGCAGTAACTAAAATATCCTGATAGAATAAAAAGAGAAAATAAACAGTATTCTTTTATTGGAGACAAATAAAAAAACAGGCTTGTTTATTAGACTGTATTTCTTGAGGTCTAAGAAGACAATGTATGATTATCAATAATATGTGTCGAGTGGTAAGTATTCCAAGGATAAATTCAATCCTTAGATTTCCATCAAGCATCAAGATTCTGGAAACAAATTATTCTTAAGTATAAAATCTAGGCTTCCTCTCTTCCCACCTGTGGTGGCACAAGGGATTGAGCCTCAACACTATAAACCAAGCTATGAGCAGCCACTGCAGGTCAAGTTCGATCAATCCCCAGCCAGCAAGCTGACCCACAATGCTCAACAAACCTCTCCTGACTCACACTGCTGAGGGTTTCAGTGGGCTTTTTGGTCATTCTGCCTGGTCTGCTACCCTGCTCCCCACTGTCTCTGGTGAATCCTCTCCCCCATCCTGCACCACCTCTAGGCTGTACCCCAGCTTGTGTATGAATAAATAAATCTTGAAAAAAATAAAATGTGGGCTGTAACCCTGGTTCTCACAAAGATTAGGAATATACCAACTTAAAAAAAGGCCCCCTCCTATTTCCCACACAGGCTTGAGAGGACAAAATGATAGAAAACCTACCTCCACTTAATGTCCCATGAGGATCAAATATGTCACCTCCTAGAGTTACAGTTCTAGTCATTATTCTTTTATCAAAAGCCACTTTTTTTGCATTATCCATATTATCACAAACAAATGTTGTTCCAAAGACAAATTCCATTGCTTTCTGAAGTTCTGGTTTATATTCAACCAAGGAAAGAGCGACATGAACATTATTAGGGCCAACCTGTAAGGAAACAAGTATGTCACCGTTTATATTTGTCCTCTTCAAATATATTTATAAATAAGAATCAAAATAAAAATTTAAGAAATCTGTATTTAGTATTATATTACTTTTAAACTTTGGGAAATACAATCGTTTAGGAAATGTTTAAGCACTGGAAGATCTATTGGTAGGAAAAACAAAGTACCAAGCATTACAAAGATTTCTACCAAGAGTCACTACCAAGTTTCTAAATTGAAAATGTAGTAGTATTTATTTGGATACTACTTTAATTAAAGCACAGCAATTGGTGGAACAACACAATTACATAAAATGCTTCGCTTATAATTTTTTTTTTAATCCCTCATCCCTTTGTTTTGATCCAACAATCTCTTCCTATCATTTTAATAGTATCTACCTCTACCCTTTTTTCTTTTCAACTAAGATGGGCAAGACAACTTGTGCTTTTCAGAAAAACTTGTTCTTTAGAACTTTGTGTCACTATCCTTTATGGAGTTTTAGGAGCAGCAAAAGTCACAATGAAAGCAGCATTGTGTGAGGAATGTTCAGCATCTGTTTGACAGCAGTTACTCTTACACAAGTCTGGTTCAGGGATCTAAGGGGAAATATTTTTGTTGTCACTTGAGATTCCAACCCACTTGAGATTCTTTACCCAGTTCTGAAGTAACTTTCTAGTCTTGCAGACACCTAAAGGTAATTATTCAAAGCAAAGTAAGTACTAACCAAAGGTACCTCCTTTCATTTACGCTTACTGATTCTCTTCTTGGTATTAACAATCCAACTGGAATTTGAGATTATTTTCATTAAGGTATCTCAATTTCAGCCAGAGCACTGTATATTCACTTAATATCTTAATCCCAAACATAATTTATCAGTTTCATAGAAGTGTACTTTGCACTTACACATTTGGAATACCTGCTCCATCCATGACAAACTGATAGTGTTGCTGAACATTGTGACTGGCTTTGTTTATAACCCATACTAAACAACCATATAGCCCTCCACATCTACTTCCTATACTCTGCTTTTTAAAATCACTTTGGATACACCTCAGCAGCTGACTCTGTCCCAGTGATCAGCTTTCTAAGAGGCCAATCTAGAACTTAGAAAAGCATGACTGCAACACTGTATTTTCCATGACTGCCCCTGTGGGCAGTGTAAAGGTGCCTAACATAAAACAAAAAAACATGGGAGAATTCTGGTATTTAACTAAGCTCTGTAGCTATAGCTATTCAGAAATCAGCAATTTCATCTTTAATGTCATTTGCTAGTCTGACTTAAACACATTCTTTCCATCTAACTGAAAAAGAGTTCACTCTATTTTGTCATATCATAATTTTTTAAAGCATGGTAATACAATATTTATTGATTCTACAAGATTATTCCCTCCCCCCCTTAATTAATGGTGTCTAGTATGATGCAGTAAAAGATAACACTTACAAGATTCTGAGCAACTCTCAGTGTTTCTGGAGCAATACATCTGGCTGAAATCTTATTGAGTGGAATTATAGTATATCGACGCTTCAATTCCCCTTTTTCTAGTAGTTTTTTTCCAGTAACCTAAAACATTGTTCATTTGAAAAGAAAATTACTGATGGCAGAAAGTAGTCAAATAAAAGAGTGGTTGTTAGGAACCCATAACTAAATTTTTAGTGTCTTCCATCTGGAACAACCAAAAGCCCAAGATTGATAATATGCATTCAAAATTCCTAATTAAGCATGACATCGCCACTGGCATACAGGTAACTATAATAAAATAAAACCACAAAGTAAGTGACTGAGTAGTTTTAGCCTTAAAGATAAACAACCTTAGGAGAAATTAAAACATCAAGAAAGTACCCAATTCTTTGAGCAGTACATGATATTTCAAAATAAACAGCAATTATATATTCTCTTAGTTAAAATTAATTTACCTCTGTATCTACAACAACATTGTAAAGTCGTTCCCCAGCCACCAATTCTAAAGCTGTGGTTGCAGAAGTGTCTTTCACACTAATCAGGGAAGCTACAAGTCCTTTCACACAATTTCTATTCCAGTTCTTCTCTGGATCCCTGAAACAGAAAAGTTAATACAAATTAATCTGAAGACAGGAAAAATAGAAAAAAATTGTCCTTTACTAGTCAAGAGTTCATCTGGAAACATATTAAATTGACATGAACACAGATGAAGCAAGTTATCTTAAAAATTGAAAAATGTTCTGTATGATTAGTCAGTTATTGTTTTAAATTAAGTAAATAGCTCTTCACTATACATTGTTTTAATGTAATAAATAATTTTGATGCTCTTAAACATATAATTGCTATATATTTCCCATGGGAAAAATTCAGTTTTTAATATTTAATATTAAATGCTAATATTAAATATTAAGATAAAATAACAAGAAATTGGATTGAAATTAAATTGATAGCCATTTTATTTCACAGTAATTTTCCCAACATCTGAAATATCTCAACTATTTAAGGAGAACACATTAAGGAAGGAGCTTTTTAAAATATAATAATTTTCACACAAATATTAATTTAAGAACATTTCTGGATTGCCTTCCAACTAAAAAGTATATCTTGGTTATCACTATGTTAAAATTTAAATCTGTTACCTGTATGCAAATCGAAGGTTGGGAAATCTGGCCAGGAGAGCTTCATATGTTTCCTTCAACCTACTGATATCACGAGCCAGCTGCCTACGCCTTTCCAAAAGGTTTTCCTCCTTGTTTTCTGAACAGTAAATCACAAGTACATTGAAACAAAGTTTTAAAAAAAACTATTCTGATCTAAGGAAATATTAGAAACTTGTATTTTATAAGCCTTTCTAGAAACAAAATGAAAATTTCTGTTAAGTACTAAATAAAAAGCATATTTAACACACAAATTTCTGTCAAGTAGACATTATTTTCAGTAACACAGTTTTCATTCCAAGAGACAATATAGGAACTGAATGCTAATACAGAAATATACAAATATCATTTCTGAATTCACAAGTGGTACTGAAAGAAACATAAATATGTCAGTACTGACATTTCAGAAATTCCAAGCACGAGTTATTTTTGTGACTATTTAGCAATATTTCTTACACTAATACCCATTAATAGGGTAAAACTTTTGTCCTACAGCTATTTCCTTTAACTTAGTTTCTATCAACAATCACTTCCTTATAATGATTTACGATCATGTTTTTTTAAAGGCAAACCTTCGTAATTTAGCTTTTTCATTTCAGCTTCAAGTTTTTCTTTAAGTTTCTTCACAGCCTCTAATGCATCTTGATCCTTCTTATAGCCACTATCCATCTTCTTTACTTCAGCTTGTTTAGTCTTTAATTCTTGTTGGGCATGTTTCAGCTTCATCTGAGCCTGTAATAGAAAAATATAAAAAAACTACATAAAAGGCAGACAGTATTGGCCAGACTCAGATTAAAATTGAGACATCAGCCTTGAAAATGTTACTGTTATGTCACATGGATTACTACCTCAATATAGCAATCACCTCCCAGTATTTTCTCCTAAAAAGCACTCACAATACAAACTAATACATGCTTAAGTCATCAAATAATTTGCAATTCAAGTCTATATTTTTAATATTTCTAAGAACAACAGGAATTCAAAAATTATATTTAAAAATAATCTACTAGCTGGTTAAAAACACAACAAAAAGCTACAATTCCACAAGTCTACTTGTCTTCTTTTTCACTTAAGTAGACATATTTGTATTTGTACATATTTGGGTGTTATCTGACAGAGGAGAAACTTTATTGAACACTGAAATATCAAATTATATATAAAAGTAAAACTGACAAATTTAACTGCTCTGGTGTAATGTTTAAAATTCTGCTATAAGTTCTGAAAGTTCAGGCATCTTAAATTTATATAATTGAGCACTGTTCCTTAAAAACATGAGCTAGTTTCCTAAGACCAAGATTAGGAGGCTGTAGCCACCTCTGGAACTGAATTGTAATGGGTTTTCCCCATTACAATTAACAGGGCTCTCCTTGGTGGCACAAGGGTTTTAAATCTCAGCACTGTGAAGCTATTCGCAGCCACTGCAACACAAGTTCAATCCTCAGCCAGAGAGCTAACTCCACATGGCATGGCAGACCTCTCGTGTCTTGCCCACTGCTCCCCTCAGTAGTGTATTTCAGTCAATCTCCCTGTTCTGTTCCCCACTCGGTCTCTAGTGAATCATCTCACCCCCTGCACCTATGGCCTGCACCCCAGTTCTTGTATGTATAAATAAATAAATCTTAAAAATAAGTAAATAAATAAAATTAGTTAACAGAGAAACTGATCAGCTTCGAAGTTTTTCTGCCACTTTTTTGTGACTATTTTTGATTAAAAACATTGCAAATAGAAAACTCTGAATTGGATTAATATACAAAAACCTAACAAGTGTGTACATATATAAAGATTTATTTATTTATGCATACAAAACTGGGGTGCAGGCCAAAGGTGCAGGGGTAGTGAAAGGATTCACCAGAGACAAAGTGGGGAGTAGAACAGGCAGATCCACAAAGTACACTGCTGAGGGGAGCAGCAGGCAGGTCAGGAGAGGTCTGCAACGCCATGTGGGTCACCTCTGGGGCAGGGATTGAACTCATGAAGTGGCTTTGGTTCTTAGTGCTGTGTTTTAACCCACTGCGACACCAGGAAGGGCCCGTGAACATTTTTTTAGAGATGAGCCCTCAAAAAAAATTATGGGTATTTGTGTACACATACACATTTCTCTGCCATCAAAAATCTGTTAATAGGACTGTAAGTTGCATTAGTAAACAAATTTGAAACCATCATAAGAAACTGAAAAAACTTTGAAGATTATGAAATCAGAGTTAGGGAAACCAAAGACTAGCATGGGGATAGATATTTCCAAGGGGTATGTTGTAAAATTTTAGCAACTAGGAGTGGTAGACATAGAAATGGAGAGGCTATTTTTGGTGTTCTATTAAAGCTCTAAGACATCAACTTGCTGATGGCAAAAAGATGAGCATACACTGACTAATCATCAGTGTTCAGCATCAGTGTTCCATACATTGTTATAGACAGAAATAAACTACTGCACTTACAATTTTAGTTAACCTACAAAAGTATTTTACATTTTGCAGCATCTTAAGAAATTAACATCATCAATAGTGTCCACATTTGAATTTCATTGTATAAGGTGCTATTGAATGGGTGAGTAAACGCAGTCCTTTATACTGAACAGATTATTTTATTATGTTTAGCTGGCAAAAACGTAACATGAAGCATGTCCTTGGGGGGAAAAAATTGCGATCACATATACTCGGTTTTTACCTGTTTAGCTTCTGTTTGAGCTTTACTTATGTCATTTTTACAGGCCATCATTTGGCCTGCAAGAGTTGCTTCTGCTCCATCTTCATTACTGGAGAGGCCGGCAGAAACAGCATTGAAGTGCTGCTGTGCAGCAGCCAAAGCTTCAGCATCTCTATTACTTGCTTCTTGAAAGGCATTCAATCCATCTGTTATCTTTTTAACCTCTTTTTCCTTTGCTGCTAAAGTTTTAGAATCCTTAGGAAGAGTTTCAGATTAGAAAGTATTACATTTAAAAATACTTATACTTGCATATGGTTTCATAACAATTTGAAGTGTGCCTGACAATAAGGAAAACAATTTCACCATCATAACTTTAAATACATTATCCCTATTTTGAGATTTATTCTCTTGGTTTTTAGGATAAATGTACCTTTCACCTACTAGAAATACTTTCATTTCATGTTAAAGTCACATTTAGACAATAATGATCTGAAGTATCACTGAAAATGTAAAGGAACAACATTTATAATGGAAAGTCTCTAAATCTATTAAAACTGAATAGTCATCTTATACTGAGCTTAGACGTAGAGATTTTAGGATTAAGATATACAAAAATAAACTATTAAAGGCAATAAAATTTAAGTTTTAAATAATTACAGAAACGGTGTTACTAATGGATTTAAGTCACATTCAACAGATATCCAATACTATGTAAGATAGTAGCAAGGGGGAAAAGAAATCTAGCAATATTAGTTATATGAAAGTGACCAGATATTTTGGACCACTTGTTTATGAGTCATTGTTTATAGATATCTACCATGAACAAATTATTACTGTAAACATTAAAAGACATATAGGACAGTAAACAAATAAAGCAAGATACAGAAGTGATAGAAACTATTTTAGTTTAGAAAGTTGAGCAAGTGAGTGGTGAGGAGGAGCCAGGAGTCATACATGTAGGGCTGGGTCTAGAAGGCTGTGGTAAAGACTTTGGAATCTAATTTTATATATGTATGATTTTGAATTCCGAGGAATTTTAAGCACAAGAGTAATATGATCCAACTTACATTTTAGCTTCTGTAAAGAAGAGAGAGCAGTAAGAAAAAGAGCAACTAAGTCAAAGGCAACTATTATAGGAAGCCTCATTCAAGGTGATGGTATGAACCAGTTCAGCCATGATGACAGTGATGAAGAGTCACTGTATTCTAGATATATTTTTAAAGTCAAGAGAATTTTCTCTAAGATTAGAAATGGGGCTTGATATAAGCAAAATCTGTAACAGGATTTTTCGACTGAACAATTGGGTTTACAGTCTAGACTTTTACTGGCATGAAGAAGATTCAGTAACTCAGGTAGTTTTGGATAAATGGGGAAAATCTAAGGGCTCTATTTTGGATATATTAAAATTCAGACTTTTTATTAGTCATCCAAATAAAAGTGTTGATTTAGTAGTTGGACAAATTAAAGTTCAGGGAAGATGTCTGAGCTAATTAAAGATTTGAAAGGGAGCAACACAGTGAAATGGGATAAAGGACAAATGATATAAATGTAGCAATACTAAGCACTTAGCCCAAGAGCATGCCAACTCTCTTTTGACTTGCTTTACTAACCTCATTCAAAATTCCTATATTCAATGATCTAACAGCACCTCTACCCTCTTATAGTCACACTGTACTTCTTATTCTGTATCTTAGCTAACAGTAACTATTTTCTACTGTCAGAGACAAAAATTTGGATTTATCCTTCAGTCCTTTTCTCTTTCCTATTCAACATCCACGTCACCTGTCAGATCTACCCTTAAAATACACATAAAATACCACAATTACTTTTATTATACCCATTTCTACTGCTGTTGTTTATCCAAGGGTTATCATCTGGATTAGCAGTCACTACTAGCTGGTTTCCCTGCTTTGTTGTTCTATGGATAGTTTGTCTTCAAAACAGTCAGAATAGGGGCTTCCCTGGGGACCTAGAGGTTAAGTCTCAGCACTGTCACCACTACCACCTGAGTTTGATCCCCATCCAAGGAGCTGTACATATGCACTCTCCTGTGTCTACCACTGTTCCTCTTAGCAGTGTATTTCAGTAAATCTATCTATTCTGCTCCCCAGTCTGTCTCTGGTGAATCCTCTCACCACCCCCTCACCTCTTGCCTATACCCCAGTTCTACACAACAATAAATTAAAAACAAGCCCGAATAGCCCAAATGAAACATTAAAAATGCCACCCTCGGCCCTCCCTGGTGGCGCAGCGGGTTAAAGCACAGCACCGAGAATCTGAAGCCACTTCCGCATGAGTTTGATTCCCGCCTGCCGGCTGCACCGGAGGAGACCACATGGCAAAGCAGACCTCTCCTGACCCGCACGCTGCTCCCCTCAGCAGTGTACTTCGTCCATCTGCCTGTTCTGCTCCCCACTCTGTCTCTGGTGAAGCCTCTCACCGCCCCTAAGCCTCTGGCCTGTACCCCAGTTCTGTATACACAAATAAATAAATCTTTAAAAAAAAAAAAAAAAAGCCACCCTCTTGCTCAACTTATGAATTTCCTTCTCTCACTCATTTAACTGCACACATGCAAAAACATGTTATCATACACCCTATTATTTTTCTGTATTCCTATACTTAGTACCTGGAACAATTAGTGTTCTTCTGCTGGATATCTGTCCCCACAGCCTCCCAGTTTATGTACATGATTCTCTGACCTCCACCTCCTATGGTCATCAAGGAAGAATCACACTTTCTCTGAGATCTTTAATACCAACTCAATTTAAAATTCCAAACTGTAACCTAATACTCCTGATCTTCTACGCTTCTTTATGTTCACTCTACATCAGTTATCACAATAAAAAAGTCATCTTGCAGTTATTTTAGCATCATTTGCCTCACTTGAATAAAGACCCAGAAGTGTTTTGTCTATTTTTGTCATTTTCCACATTGTACTCCCCAGCTAAAACAATTACACTTGGTCCACAGCACTAAATACTGAAAAAATGGTAAAATGTATACTAGTGAAACTAAACCAAATTTCTATATGCTTACCTCAACGATGTTTTTCTCTAGTTCTTTGCGTTTGTTCTCTTCACTTTCTAGATTTTTCTTCTTAAGATCAAAGGCACTTTGAGATTTAGTGTTAACTCGCTGAGCTTCTGCGAGAGCATCTTCTAAAGATCGTAGTATCCCTCCAATTTCCTAATCAAATGAACCCAACGATTTCTATGTTAAGTATTTACTTGTTAAACAGAAGCTATTTTGTTATCATACTTAAGATTAACAATCAATATGGAAGTCAATGCTAAGCAGATCCTAGTTATTATACATGATGTATTTTCAGAGTATATTATCCACATTCTTACAAAGATGCCTGACCTTATCTTTTCTTTTTTCCAAATCTTCTATTTCATGACTAAGAGCTTTTATTTTTTTATCATTCTCAGATAATTCTTCTTGTAGCTTTACAACTTTATCCTGCATTTCTTTAAATTCCTCAGCTGATCGTTCCTTGGTATCTTCAGCCAGCAAAAATTGATAAGCAATATATAAACGACTCAAATGTTCTATCTCCCTCACTATTTTTTGGTACTCCAAGTACGAAGATCTTTCCTGAAAGAGAAATCACCAACATAACATAATTCAAAACTACCATTTTTAAATACATTTGGAAAGAATCAAACAACAACATGCATACCATTTCCCATTACAAGACAGAATAAACTTTGTCTTAGGTTTAAATGATTGTGGCTTATCAATTTTAGGAAACTTTAATAGGAGAACTCTGGTTAGTATTAAATCATCTCAAAAAATAAAAATCGATGAGGCTATTTTAATACATACTATAAGGCAGTTGGGACAAACATGGACATAAAGTCAATTAGGGTAGAAGGTAACCTACATGTGCAACAGTGATACACTCAAGTTTTTGTTGCAGTATTACAAAGACATTCATTCAACTATTGAAAGGCATTTGCTCACACATATTAAGCTGCATTTCCTTAAGGATCATCTGGAACAGACACAGTAACACTAAGTTCTTGCTTTGAGATCAAGAAACAAAATCAGAGTGGTAAAATGACTCGTGTTTGTCGGATTTGGAGAAAACTGTCAAAATTAGGTATAAAACCTAAGTTAAGATTACTGAGCTAGTGTTAATATCTACATTCTTATTGGACCCAGAAAATAGCTTTGAGAAGGATGAAAATTTAATAAATACAGTGAAAGAAAATACTTATATTTTCAACATGATTCTAGTCATGTCTCATTGCCTTCACTCAACAAAAGCCTTGACAACAGTAATGGTAGTGGCAGTCCCAATCATAGCAGGAGTTCGATCTGTACACCCACAAGGGAAAACTGCCATTCTCATCAACAAATGTTGCTCCAGTCAATTCTAATTATTCAAGAAAATCTAGACATACGTCTCCCCAGCAAAACATTAAAAATGTGTCAAATCATTTTCTGAGATTATGAAGAACAATCTTCAAAATCATTATGACTTAAAGGATATAAAGTACATGTCCTCTAAAAACAGAAGGCTGAGTTACAGGGTACCAACTCTATTCTTATCTCATTCCAGAAAGTCAATTCCTGTTAAGTAATATGCAATTCATTCTTTATTTCTGATCCTGAATACATCACCAATTTTGAGACATTATAATTAGCTAGTTTCATGTATATACCTCTTTTAATTTTTGAATGGTTGGTGTAATCTCTTCTTCAAGTATCTAAAAAAATAAAGGAAAACCAAATCATTAATATGCAAAGTACCACTGAAAGAAATAACATGGAAGATGAAGGAAACTGAATAGAAGGGGAGAAAATTTCCTCCTTTACAGCAAAGAAACGTGAAAACAAAAGTTATTATCTTCTCTATAAACATTTTATATATATTTCATTACCGTCTTAATTTCTTTAAGCTTAGCCTCCTTTTTTTCTATAGTTTTCTGGGCAGCTATTTTTTTGTATTCATACATCCTGGTTCCAGCTGCTTCTTCTATCATAGACAAAATCTGTAATGACAATTGTATAATATTTTAAGAATCCAAAACAATGTGCTGCATAGTATTCACATTAAGATTATCATTTAAGGCCTTGTCCTGAGCACCCTACCAAAACAAAGTCTAAATGGATAATGGAAATACATAAAAATGTACATTAGCAGCATAATCCTAAGATTAACGAAACATTTCTGGTTTGCACTTTAATTCTAAAATTCAAAATTTCCACTACGAATTTCCAGAAAACATCTCTTTAAAAATTGAAGCCAGGGGGCCTCCTTGGTGGCACAAGGGCTTAACTCTCAGCACTCTGAAGCTATCAGCAGCCACCGCAGCATAAGTTTGATCCCTGGTCAGGGAGGTGACCCACATGGCGCAGCAGACCTCTCCTATCTTGCCTGCTGCTCTCCCTCAGGATCAGGAGTGTATTTCAGTCAACCTGCCTCTTCTGTTCCCCGCTCTGTCTCTCATGATTCCTCTCACTGCCCTCCATACCCCTGCTTCTTTGGCTTACATCCCAGCTCTTCTATGCATGAGTAAATAAAGCAAACCTAAAAAAGAAAAAAAAATTGAAGCCAGTAATGTTTCCCCTAATTTCCTTCAAATTAAAATCTAAAAAGGTAAAAAAAGGCTAACACAACATTCAGCTTTCATCAGATGTTCCTACTGAAAACTCTTCCAAGTGAGACCAATCATTTTGTGCCTATAGGGATAAAAAATGTCTTAGCATTTGCATCTTAACTGTAGCAATGCTTTAAGAACTTGAACAAGTAATTTAATATTCTCTTTGCCTCAGGTTTTTTTATCCAGAGTATCAGTGATACCACATCACATTTAAAAATTAAAAAAAAAAAAAAAATCCTGTGAAAAGCACACTGAAAAAGGTAAATAATAATCAATTTGGGCCTTCCCTGGTGGTACATGGATTAAAGCACACTATTATGAAGCTAAAATCACTTCAGCATGAGTTCGATTCCAGGGATTCATCCAGGGAGATGACCCACATGGTGCAGCAGACCTCTCCTAACCTGCTTATTGCGCCTCTCAGCAATGTACTTCATCAATCAGCCTGTTCTGCTCCCTACTGTTTGTAGTGAATCCTCTCACCACCCTGAACCTCAGCCCTGTACCCCAGTTCTGTATGCTTAAATAAATAAATCTTTAAAAAAAAAATCACTAACATTATAAAAACAATTTGCCAGCATTCCTTTTTCAGAAGTGTCTATATTGCACCAATCCCCTCCTAAAGGATTATTTCTCTGAAACCACCTTGATTTACATGTATTGGCAGTTTTCAAATTAGAAGTTTTCCCTTAAGAAGTTGTCTAAAAATTAACTTATGACCTGTGTTCAAACCAGAGTGAATATATGAATTATCAGTCTTGTTAGCGCTTCTCTTGAAAACAACTCGTCTTTGTTCTTGTACAAAACATTTATTCCTTCATACCACATTCCCATACCACATACTACCTCTTCGCAAGAGGAAAATAAGCATTTAAACTGTAAGTAGTACACTCTAGCTAATAGTTTCATTCAAATCATTTCCTTCAGCTTCACTATGATATGAAACACTGATAAACAAAAATTACTTTATAAAGTCCAAATTAAAAAAAAATTATTTATGCATGTAGAACTGGGGTACAGGCCAGAGCTGCACAGGCGGTGAGAGGACTCACCAGAGACAGAGTTGAGAGCAGAATAGGCAGACTGACAAAGTACACTGCTGGGGGGAGCAGCAGGCGAGACACAGAAGTTTGCTGCGCCATGTGGGTCACCTCCCTGGCCAGGGAATGAACTCCTGCTGAAGAAGCTGCAGTCTGCTTCCCAGTGCTGCATTTCAACCCACTGCACCACCAGAGAGGGGCCTATGAAGTCCAAATTTCTAATATTGGACACTTAAAACCTAAATGTGGTAAGGTCCTGACATCAGTCTTTGTGATGATTTTTAAATCTCACACCAAAAACTACATAAAAATGCTCTGAATAACAAAGTGAAGAAGACAAAAAGAAAAGGAAAGTTATATATCTGACAAGGGGTTAATAACTAAAATATATAAAGATTTCATTTTTTAAGACCTCCTGCAACTCAACAAGAGAAAAAACACAACAAAATAAAAAATCCATTTTAAAAGTGAGCAGGAGGGCCCTCCCTGGTGGTGCAACGAGTTAGGACACAGCACTGCCAAGTTAGTGCAGCTGCTTCAGTGCAAGTTCGATTCCTGGCCCCGGATGGCGTTGCAGACCTCTCCTGACCTACCCACTGTTACCCTCAGCAGTGTATTTCCTCTATCTGCCTGTTCTGCTCCCCACTCTGTCTCTGGTGAATCCTCTCACCGCCCCTTCATCTCTGGCTTGTACCCAGTTCTGTATGCATAAATAAGTAAATCTTAAAAAAAGTGGGCAGATATAGATAGATTTCTCCAAAGACACATATATGGCAAACCAGTGGATGAAAAGGGATAAAGCAGGGCCCTCCCTAGTGGCTCAACTGCAAGCTGGCCGCAGCCCCTTCAGTGCAGTTTGATCCCCAGACCCAGAGGTGACCCACGTGGTACAGCAGGCCTCTCCTATCTCTCCCACTACTTTCCTCAGCAGTGTACTTTGTCCATTTGCCTGTTCTGCACCCCATTCTGCCTCTGGTGAATCCTCTCACCACCCTGTACTTCTTGCCAGTACTCAGTTTTGTATGCATAAATAAATAAACCTTTAAAACAAATAAATAAAAAGGCATAAAACATCTCAAATCACCAAGGAAGTATTTAAGTCAAAAATACAATGGAATATCACCTTACAAGTTAGAATGGCTGTCCTTAAACAAAAAGGCAAGAAAAACAAGTGTTGATGAGGATGCAGAGAAACGAGCCCTTTGTTGAAAATAACGTTTTAGGTGCAGCCACTATGCAAAGCAGTATGGAGCTGCTTTGAAAATTTAAAACTAGTAGTTTATTGTCAAAAGGCAAAAACATGAAACTGAAAGGACAGTAATACCCCAATGTTCAATGCAGCATTATTTCCAATAGCCAAAACATGCAAGCAACCTGTATTTCCATGGATGGATGAAGAAAACATGATATATTTTCACCATGGAGTAATACTAAGCCATAAATTAAAAGGAAATCTTTCCACTGTGATAGCATGAAAAGACTCTAGGGATCTTATAATAAATAAGTCAGACAGAGAAAAACAAGTTCCTATAGCCTCACTTATATATGCAGTATGAAAGCAAAGAAAAACTGAACTCACAGATTCAAGAGAACAAATCGGTGGGGTTGCCAGAATTAAGGATATCAAAAAGTGGATGATATGGGCACAAGTGTCAAAAAGTACAAACTTTCGACTATAAAGCAAAATGTCATGAGGATGTAATTTATAGCATGGTGACTACCATTGTTTAAATTATAATATTGTAGTGGTTTATACAATTTGGTAAGAGTGTAATAATGGATGTTAGACTTACTATGTGACCAATCTGCAATATACACAAATTTCAAATCATTATGTTGCATAGCTGAAACTTTACAATTCTGTATGTCAATTACATCTCAATTTTTATAAAACTTTTTAACAATGTTCCAAACCTTTACTTAGACACTCTCACTTAAACCTAAGGTAAAGATTATGACTGCAACTTGTGGATGAGGATACTAAAACTCAGAAGGGTACTGTTGCACACACAATGGGACAGTGCTGAATTAAAAAAAAAAAATTCCAACTACTTTCTTTACTGATCATGCTTCAACAACATTTCCGAGAATTTTAATAAAAGAAATTATGTAAAATAACTGATTGCTAACATGATTAAAATTACATTTAAATTAGTTTCTTACTGTCCACAAACAGTATTCTTACCTCTGGAGGTTTCATATTCAATACTTTTGTAATTCGGCCCTGAAAATAAAATGACAAACTTACTGTAATAATAATAAATTACAGAAAGTAGTTTATTTTCTGTAAACTACAGAAAGCAATATAAGTTTATCTGTCCTGAAACTGCTGTATACTAATATAAAATAATCTTCTGGACACTCTTTATTCTACCTACATGAAAGATGTTTCTCTGCTTAGATTTGAGACTAGAGGTACTTGATAATTCTAGAATTCTGTAGCTTTGCTGTTCATTTTCTCACTTACCATAATACATATTAAATTATTAAATGATACAAATGTAACTCTTACCAATTTCTGAAAACAAGTATCTTAATATGACAGAAGCATCTAATTCCAAAACAGTTAAGTGTATACATAAGTCATAATTTACTATTTAACATTTCTTGACTTTTTAAAAAGACAGTCCTTCAAAACAATTTCTAAGCATAGATTACATACTTCTGGGTCTCACATAGAATGGTAAAAGGTTTCATTTCAATACGCCAAAAAGTCATAAAACTCCTTCAATACCAAAACAATCCCCCCACTCAAAAAAAGCCACTATTCAATGCTCAGAGAACGGTATTATTAAAGACTTACATTTCCTTTGAAGTAAATTTTCAGCTTTCAAGCTGGAATATAGTAAAAATACTTTTTCTTTGGTCTCATTAGGAGCCTACAAATGATTTTGCTGTTACTCTCAAAGGACAGTGAAGGAGTCAAGTTTGAATCAAGTGAGATAATGTAAATGCAAAATGACCTTATCCCTTATTTTTCATTTGCACAAGTTTCTAAAGAAGAAAACTACTTAAAGTTTAATATAGATTTGAAATAACATGCTGTAATTCAATACTTTACAAGGACAATGTGATAAGTTTTAAAATTTTTTAAATGCGCACATACTGCTCTTGTGATAACAAAGCAGTCAATATTATTTTCATACATCCTTCAAAATTCAAATGTACACAACATGTTAGAATACATCAATACAAATAAGTCACATTTCTTAACAGTGCCCAAACACAGGGGTAAGTATATATGTAAATGGGAAACAAGCACTTCTTATTGTAATTATTACAAAAGATGTCAAAACCATAATAAAAGTGGCATAAAGATCACATGTGAAATACCTGCATGATGAGAAAGTGAGGGTTGTTAACATTAAGGCCAACAGAACAGAAGAGATCCTGTACTCTGGTATTGTTTGCATTTACTCCATTGATTAAATATTTATTTCTGCCACCAATAACCACCTAGAAGGGGAAATTTTAAGGTATAAATTAACACACACATTTTAAGCTAAGATGATGAATTACCAAATACATTATTTCTTTTGGTTCTGTCCAACTAATGGTAAGTAGAACCAACCTTGTCAATAGTGGAGGAAATGTTACATGGCCAAAAATATATGAAATTTATTTTGAACAACTGGCTCCTAACCTAGGTACCTTTCCTAACTATTTCAGTAATCACTTCAAACTCCCCAATTTCACCTCCGTCTGTAGGTCGCTTCTACCTTCATGTTTCCAAGTATGTATAGAAAGTATTATCTACCCTCAATTACCCTCTTTTTACACTTACGAGGCTAACTAACCTCTCTCTTTAATTTCCAAGAAAATAGAAGTCACATACAAAAACCAAAGGCAAGCAATGTGATAAAAAAAAACCTTGACCAAATAAGTTTTTAAAAAAATTAATCTTTGATAACTGAAAATATGGGCTGCAGAAAGAAAATATATTTTAAAGGACAAATGTGAGGTCATACATTGGCTTACATTTAGAAATTGAAGCAATGTAGCTATTAATAACGTGAAAAAATGAGTGATGTTAAATAAAAAGGATATAAATCACTGACATTATAAAATCTCCTTTATTGTATTGGGAAAAATAGAAGTAGTTGCTAAAAAAGAAAGAAAAACTATCCTTAAGCCTGCCCTAACTAAACCAATTCTAGCATTTGAGATGCCAAGAAAAAAAATATATATAAAGAACCGGAACTATTAGTATTCAGTATCATTAGACAAATAAAAAAACTAACTATAAACATAACTGTAAGACCTACAGAGATTTAACTTAGAAAATATTTAGATTTAACCAGTCACTTAAATTTTAAAATATGAAATTAGATTTTCCTTAATGTGAAAAACTTGAGGATACCATTTTGGCTCAATTTACAGGAATAACTTTATGTGTATGTGTTTTAGTATTTATTTTTAAACAACACAACAGTGGCTTACAACATTATCTGATTCAGAGGCACAGGATCATACCTACTCAGGCATATGTCACTACTGTACAATAAGCTTATAAACAGACCTGACAAAAACAGACTAGGTTATCTCAGAATATAGCAAGAGTCTAAGAACTAGAGGTGATCTATCTAGCACAGATGGAAAATTTGTTTGGTTCAAGATTTAAATTACTGCTTATCCTAGAAGCATGACTCTTTAAATCCCTTTCAATTCTCTTGGTTAACAGTGAAATTTGCTTGACCAAAATTTTAACAGAAGATATTTTTAAGAAATCTTCTCAGTATTTGACACATCAGTTTTACTCAGCAAAAAAACAGAACACACACCACTTCTTAAGTATCCAAACATGTAACAGCCACTCACCTGCCTTGTTACTGTAATTTCATCATGAACTTCAAATCCTAAAGGACTTTGCTTTTTGTCAGAATTATCAAAAGTGATTGAGACTGAGGCTTTGGTGATACCAGCTTGCCCATTTTTATAAACTAAATCTTGTAAATTAGAGGCACGAACCTAAAATAAAGGAACAGTATCAATTACAAACCCCATACTGCACTAAACAGCAGTACAATTAGGTTTCTTGCTGTTGAAAACCACACACGTGGTACTGATTAAGCAACTAAGAAAAGGCTGTCATAGTCACAGGCAAAGCAAGCAAGGAAAACAGGTAACTACCTGCAATGGGAACCTTTTCCCTTTTGATTTCTGAACCCTGAATTATTGTCTATTTGTTTCTTAAGGAAGCTCATTTGAATAAAAACGGAGCCTAAGAAATTCACTGGTCATTCAATGTCAGTAGACTTTAAAAAGGCATTATAGGGCCCTTGCTGGTGGCACCACAGATTAAAAGCACACAGTACACTAACTTCTCTGCAACCCCTGAAGCAGGAGTTCAATCCTGGCCAGGGAGGTGACCCACAAGGTGTGGCAGATGTTGTCTGTCTCATCTACTGCTCCCCTCAGCAGTGTATTTCAGTCTTTCTGCCTGTTCTTCTCCACACTGTCTCTCTGTCTCTGGTCAAATCTCACTCTCCTCCCTCCCCCCCATACACACCTCTGGCTTGCACCCCCAGTTCTTGGATGCATAAACAAATAAGTCTTAAAAAAAATTAAAAAGGCACTTTAATGTTGGACTCTAAAATGTGACCGACTTTTAAAGGCAGAATGTCTTAGGTTGAGTGATGTTTCAAACATCTGAAGAGAATGAATCTAAGGCAATTTCTATTTTCTCACCCCAAAAAATGGAATAATGCTCACTTTTAAAGGACTGTAGTGAGGTGTAAAATTATAAAGTCTGAAGTGTAAATGAAGAGAATATTGGCATTAATCTCCAAATTCAAAGGGGATTCCTGTCAAGTTTAAAATCATGTTCTTCGGAAGCCTTATACTTTACCTGAGACAAGTTAGAGATACCCAGCAAAAAGCAGATGGAGTCCAGTATGTTGGATTTTCCACTACCATTTAAACCAGTGATGGCATTGAAGAGGGGATCAAAACCATTGACTTCAGTCCTTTGAGCATAGGACTTGAATCCTTCAAGAATGATTGACTTAATATGCATTTTCCCTACTTGGCTGTATGTATAAGTTTTTAATAGGAATCACACAGGTCAGAAAACAGTTCTATAAAAAACAGAAACAACATGTAAGTGTAACTTAAACTTGGAAAGCAAAAGACTAAAACATAAGAATGACGGTTTAATAGAAACAAAACACCCACTTGTCGAGCTATTTACTCTGATATAAAAATTCCTTTCTCCATCTTAAAAACAGATTGGTTAGTACTACTTGGAAATTAATTAAACCATTAATTCAACCTGGAAGTCAACTACGTAGGCTACTAAAGCAACCAGGTTTCTCTTTCTGTTACCATATTCCACCTAAACACACCATTCCCTTTCTCATTACATGTTTCTCCAAGCACCGTAGACTATCTGGTGTCATGGGGGTGAGCAAAGCTGCCTCCAAATACCAGCAAGCTTACTCTACTGCATGTGAGTCCGTTCAAATGTCATCTAGCTGCGATGCTTCCTGCTCTCCCTATATTTAAAAAACAACACACCTCTATCCACCCCCTTACTGCTTTCTTTTTCCTTCCTCGCATGAAAACTGACATTAAGTAGGATTGATATCCCCCAACTCATAGTGTAAGCTCCTCTACGACCTTCGCAAGCGCCCACAGCTGTGTGAGGGGAAGAAGGGCCAGTCAACACTCATTAAATAAATAGCACCTGTCTCCAGCCTCTTGCTTTTATTCAAGGCCGTCCCCTCGCCTAACCACACCATCAACACTTCTTCGCTCTACTCCAAGGCTGGTAGAAACCTACTTGATCTGCCCCGATCGCTCCTGGCTATTATTCTCCTCCCTGCTCCCCTCCCAGCCCTCCAAATCCCACTAGAAATGCCAGGCTAGGCCCCACAGGCCGCGCGCACGTACCCGCCCCGCCGCCGCGTCCAGCTGCCAGGGTTTGGGGCGCCCTCAAAAGCGCCTGGTCACTAGGGCGGAGAGCCGACCGATGCTGCCCAGCTACGGGCGCCAGGAAGCAAATTCTACCATAGCCACCGCCACACTCGACCCGCGTCCAGAACCAGCGCCGGAACTATTTATTTCTTTGAATTTCGGCGCTAGTAAAGGACCCCCACGTCCCCCACCCATTTCTTCGGATGGTGTCTACGAGGTGCCTGGTTTATATAGTTGCATTTTTTTTTCCTATCGCGCAACCAAAGGGACAGGGGGATAGAAAAGAGAGTCCTGGCCATGAAAGCTCCCAGAGGACTACGGCGCGGGCTTGAGGACTGAACAGGGGGGCCGCGAATGTAAACTCGGGCTCCGGCACACCTCGGGCAGCCCCACACCGCCACAGCAGGCCCTCGCGCCTCGCCGGCCCCGCCCCAAGCCCTGGCGGCCACGCCCACTCCAGGGCTTCGTGGGCGCCGCGCTAACCGCTGAGTGTCGGGGTGTCGGCGAGGCAGGCGCGGGGGCTTCTTTCCGAAGGCTTGGTTCTGAGTCAGAAGCCCCAGAATCTCCCGGTGTTGGCTGAGCATCTTCCAGAATGGGAGTTGCGATTTGTTAGAGCTGGGGAGGCGCCAGGCTTCTGTTCTCTGGGTCGCGATCGGGCTCCGCCCTCGCAGGCTCTGACCTTGGCGGGCTTTTTCTTGTAGTTTCCCAGTCCGGAAGGGGCGGCTGTTGAGCTTAGAGCTCTTCTGAGCCCAAAGGATAAATCGTGTGAGGCGGGTAGTAGTACTCATAGGTAGGTGTTCAGCGCCCTTCTAAAGAGCCGTAGGAGCAATAGCAAGACTTGGGGGGAGAAAGTTTCTGGAAATGTAATAGGGTGGTCCCTCCCCCTGTCCTCTAACAGATTTGCTGTCCTATAACAAAAATACCTGGGGACCTTTAATACTTATTTCAATCTGCAGCATCCTGGGTTTGAAATGCTTTCACCTCGCCCTCCAGCCCACCCCCAACGCACACATGCAACACTGTGAAATGTGTATTGTGTTCTTGTTACCAGACATCACTGAACCCGCCCCCCCAAACCTGCCTGCTCTAAATAGGTTCTGCCATCTGTCACATCAAGACAAAACTCGGAAGAACTTTAATGGAACGGAACTTTAATGAGTGTGCAATACAGAAAAGACAATATAGTTTCTAAATCAAAAACACCCAGAGTTACCCATCCCCTTTGGGTAAAAGTCCACCCAAAAGGGACTGACCCAAAGCAAGGCCTGCAAGCCAGTCACAAGCCTGAAGCACCTGGTGCGGACCCGTAGAAAACGGTCAGAAATGGCCAGACAAGTCTGGGAGGAAAAAGGCAAGATCAAAATCAAGATAAGTGCTGCCATAGTTAAACTCCCCCTGGATCTCTCACCCACATCTATTTCAACCAGTCCAGGACCAAAAAAAAGCAATCTCAGTTTCTTCACATGGCTCTGCTCCTCCTTCAAGTCTTCTCACTCTCCATCCTACTTCCTTCCACCTCAGTCTCCTCTCCAGATTCTTCCTGTCCCTGCTCAGCTCCACCCTCCTGGGTGGGGCAGGGAATCTGAAACCTCCCCTTTTCCTGGGACCACCATTACATTCTCATTTTACAGATGAGTAAACTGAATGTTTACGTCTAAATGTTTTACAGTACTCCTTTTTTGCACAGAATTTAGTAGTGCTTATAACAGTCTGTTGTTAATGTGTTTCTTGGAAACAAAAGTGCTCACCGCTATGGTGCTGTCTTAAAAAGTTGATGCCTTTTATAACATGCTATTTTAGGCTACACAATGAAAGTTTCTCTCTTGGATGGGAATGGCTGTACTGTTGGGCATAGGTCTTAAACCAAGAATTGGCCCGTGCTTTGAATTTTCTCAATTGAAGAGAGTAAAATAAGTGAGGACCATGAAAAAAAAATTCTGTTGGAAAATGTCTACCTTTACTCTTCCAGGAGTTTGTAGGACTATGTTGATTCTCATTCACTGAAAAACCCTCTAGCAAGAAACAAAGGAGTGTTTAGAGGTATCCTCAAGTCCAACAGTTGTAGGAAGGAATATGAGATAATGGGTCTCCCGCTGCCCCACTTCCACAATGATACTTTTTAGGATAAGAGATTGACATGATGGGTCCTTACATCTTTCTAAACAGATCTCTCTGACTCAACTGTAAACCCAAGGGATTACTTTGAAGTCATGAATAATGTTTTTCCTTAATCAGTTTTTTGTTGGAAAACAAACTCCTTTAGCTAACTGAAAATGTTAAAAATTAGCTAGATGTCTTCTTTCCTTTGTTTAAATAATTATGGTTATGAATAGCCCTTCTAATAAATTTCTTTTCCTAAATTTGGAAAGTGTTCACAGTTATTTCAGTTGGCATGTTTTGTGTGTATGTGTGGGGTGGGTGAGTTGTTTAAGAAAGAAAGAATTCCTATCCTATTCTTTTCTGTAAAGTCAGTCATTACCAGCCTTACAGCATGGCCCCAAAACAATATAGTTAAGCAGTTAATCTTTCTTCACGTTGATTCTACATCTCCTACACTCCACAACGCCTCATTTGTATGGATTTAATTTAATACATTTATTTTAGTTGTGTCCCTTTTAATTGATCACCTTGTGAATAGCGTTTTATTGCCAACAAATGTAGGGTAGGATTTGTATAAGGTTGAGAAATGAAGTTTCTCTTGCAGAGAAAATATTTAAGGGTTAAGGAGACATCATTAACCTTTGCACTTACTTAGATGAATAACTACTTGGTATATTTAAGTGAATGAAAATGTATATGCACATGCACTTTAGTTTAATAAGAACTTTGAAATGGTTACAAGAATATACTCATCTAATTATTTCCACTAAAAATACTTATTAAAACGAAAATTGCCTTTTATAAAAGGGGAAATCTTTATCAGTTTTAGTCTTGGTGCATGCCAGAAAGACTAAGTGATTTCTTTTAATAAAGATGGACTTTAAAATAGTTACTAATGGCTGAGTGGCAACTCTGTATCATAAGATCACCGCAAATGGAGAAGACAGAGCCACTAATACTCTCCCAATACGCAGGAGGGAGCACTGAAAATGAAGAAACCACACCGTCGATGTAGTATAGAGCACTTCTTTTGTTTCATCACCATGGATCGGGGCTTTTAGAAAGCTTAAACCAGACTGACAAACTGGTGGAGACTTAGTCTTTGTGTGGAAGGTAAGCAGCACCAGTAAGGCCACTGAAACCATGCTGAAGGACTTAGGAAAGATTTGGTCTCATACTGGCCAAGGCATTGAGAGAACACTAGTTCTCTGGGTGTGGTTTTCTAATGTAGGTGTCCTAAAGTTATTCTTATAGGGAGCTGGGTTGAAACCTCTGCCTGTAACTGAACACAAAAGAAAAAAAGAACTTTACTTTCACTACAGAAATAAGGTTGATTCCTCTTGTTGAAAGATTGTGGGATCAAGGGGATGAGTCAATAAGACAGAAACTTCATATTCTAAAATTGTATCCAGAGGCAGTGCATTTGGAATTCACCCAGTATAACTTGACCAAGCTGGGCAAAAACACGTCTGAGAGCTTAAAGGGAAGATTAGCCAAGGAGGGATTATATTCATTTACCTGTGAGATCTGGTTCTACTCATTGATAATCATTTCAATGACAACGTTGTTTTTAATACTATATGTCCTATTTGGTTCTTTGTAAAATCTGCCTATTTATTATGATTTCTATTATCTCTTGTTTCTTCAATCAAGTTACAGACCTTTATCATCTCATTTAGATATGTCTGTTATTTCCAGCTTTTGAGTTCCTTCTATATTTACACCAGGTGCTGATGCTTGCTTACTCATAGAGATTTATTTCCTACTGAGACTGGGTTGTTTTGTTTACAGGCATCTCTAATGTCCTGAACGGTGAGTCTCCTCAGAGCAATTAGGAAATTGCTTTTGCCAAGGTTGTATGGCTCTTAAAAATGCTGGAACATTTGTAAATGATTGTTTCTAGTTTGTGGTTACTAAATTATGAAGATATTGTAAATTTATACCTATTGTATGCCTGGGTTTTTATTTCTCACAGATACCTTTTGATTTTGCCCCCTACCCAAACTCCCAGACAAATAACAAACTTCTTTGCCTTTTTCCCAGACCAGTAGGCAGAATTTTCCAGCCTCTGTGACTGGCAGGAAGTTTGTAATTAAGGCTCCAGGTTTCATGCGAGGGCCTGGACCTAGCTCCTCTGCCTCAATGAAGCATCAAACTAGCTTCTGGTTCCTAAGCACTGCAAGCAAGTATAAAATGATGGAGAGTTGCCATGGTTCCTGTTCTTCGGTTTCCAATTTGTTTCTGGCACTCAATTTCCTGGGTTTTGTTTGGTTTTGAGCCTGGTAAATATTTGGATATGACAGTAGTTATATAATGGGTGGTCCCCAGGAAGCAGGGGAGGTTCCAGGTTCCTGGGAGGGTGGAGCTTGTGGGTAATTTCAGGTGTTTGATTTAGAAATTACATTCTCTGTCTTCTGTATTGTATACTCACTATATTAAAGTTCCTTTCCATTAAAGCTCTTATATCTTGTATTGATGCAGCAGATGGCAGAACCTATTTGAGCAGGCAGGTTTGGGGGTTCAGTGGTACCCTTCTCTGCCTGCCCTGTAACAGTTATGCTGCCTGTTACATTTCTGTAAGTTTATAAAGGGACGTTTAGTCACCCATGTTAGAGCAAATACTTTACCATGTCTAGTTTGTTTTTTTTTTTTAAAGCAGACTAAAAATGAACTATGTCATGGAATAGCTAGAGTTTCAGGTTGAAAGAAAATAATCCAAATATTACCCCTTAATTGCTAGCCAAGTATAATTACCCAATAATAATGACCTCCTTTGTGCTCCTTTTACAAACACAGACTTGTGTCATATGTCATTGTATTCGTTCATTTTTTTAACCTCCCTTATTGTGAGCACCTTGATCTCAGTGCTCTTGCCTTGTTAATGTTGTAAACCCAGCCCAGATCCTCATAGTTCTATTTCATAAATGTTTACTGAATGAATGAGCAACTACAAAACATATAAAAGGTGTAAACGTTGTCCTTTCTAAAGCAGAG